GCTTGGAGTCCCAGAGAGCTGCACAAATACCCCAAGGAATCAAAAGGAAGCAAGAGCATCCAAAGTGGTCCCCTTGGGTATCTATGCTACTCTTCAGCCCCCTGGGTTCTCCCTGGACAGTCAGCAACACAGTTTCTGCACGGACCATAGTACTAAAGGCTGACTCCCTCCTAAAGAAGGGATTTGGAGGAAACAAAAACTGGCGTAAGAGATGCTGTAGATGAAGAACATGCAAACTGCTGGGTTTATAACGAGACGGACCTCGGGGGAGTTACCTGCAGAGAAGCAAACTACCTCCAGCCTGAGCAGAGAGGTGGAAGTGCCCCGCTTCCCCCACCTGATGCTTTTCTGCAAAGGGAAAATTCTGCTCTGCCGATGTTCAGATGGCCGCTGCCATCTGGATGCTTTGCGTAAATATTCACATGTGGAGTAATTAGTTTCCTAGCATAATTCTACCTACTTAAGCATTATTCCTGTTAATCAAACTACCAAAATTTATCCAGCTGAGGTCATCAGACTACACTCTATTGGGGTAATTGGTTTATTGCTATGGGCCATGCCAAACCCAAGACCTCGAATAGGTACACAACCAACACATACAACCACTTTGTTTAGTCTTTGACCTAGGCTAAATTAGTCTTACTAATGCAGGTTACCTACTTCTAACTGTATTCCTTTTATTTTATTTGCATTTCCACTAGGTTAAAAGGAGACTGTAATGGTACCCTACTGTCTGTAGGTCTGTACCCTACTTTTATGAATGTTAGAATGTGTAGAGGATAACAAATGAGCTTCCCTACAGCTCTGAAGCATGTCCCTACCTACTGTCCATATTTCCGTTAGAAATTAGTAACCTGTATCACTCACTGTGTTCTCCCCAAGGTATAACACACCAGGAACTGATACCAAAGCAACTATGAAAACCAAAACCGAGTGCTGCAAACACTTCTAAAACCCATTCAGAATTAATTTTAAACATCTGGCAATGGTTGAAGATTGGGAAGATGTAAATTCATTTGAGTTTCCTTCACAGAAATTGGGAGTAAAGACAAAGGTTCAGTCCCAAAACAAACAATGCCCTTTTGTTTTTAATACAACAAGTGAAAGTGGAGTGCCTTCTGTATTAAAATTATCATGGGATGTTTCCCAATACAAAAAACTATGTGCAACTTATGTACAGTATTCCCATATACTGCTCTGACTGGCAATACTCAAAGCCAGTGCTATGATTACAACTGTTAGGTTCGTAGAAGAGGACACTCAAGAGGAAATTCGGGGTCCGGTAGCATTCTAGCTGAGGTAGGTTAAAACAGACCCACTAATTAGAAAATCCTGCACGAGTTTATATGGTATTAAACGAAACCAAAAATTATAACACAGTTGGTCTCTGCTATTCTTTAAGAAACCAAGATGAGCATAGCATTCCAATGTCTACAAGTTTATTAATACAATCCATTCCAAACTTTGAAGAAAGTACCGTTGCTTTCCCACTTAAAAGCTTATGTTATTTTTTCCTGTCGATTTTATTTCCTATTTCAGTCTTGACATCACTGAGGGTGCACTGCTGTTCTGCAGGAGAGGTGGGCTACAGGATGCTTGCTTGGTTACAGGCGGCATGATGGCAGACTGCTTTTTGTCTGTGCAATATCCCGGGACTGTTTCGCTCTGGGCTGCCTCCCCCTCCCCACAACGGCTGCGAGGTGGGATGACCCCAGGGAGGATCCTGGCCGGTCTGCCACAGGGAAGCCTTGCCATCGCTCAGCACTACCTGAGTGATGTGCTCCGGCCAGAGACCAGAAGTGGACCTGCAGCAGGACGCCTGGGGGCTGGCAGGCTGCCCGAAGGCAGGCCTGGGCTGTTTGTCCTGTGGATGTGGTTTAATGCAAGGCAGTAAGCTGGATTTTGGTTAGAATATTTGTTTTCAGGTTTAATAATTACATCTGATAACAATACGTGTGTGCGTATATGTATGCTTGGGGAGGAAGATTTGTGTAAGCAGCAGGATTTGAAGAAAGGAAATAGTACATCGATGGGACTTAAAAGTTTATGCTTTTCTTGTTTGATAGCACCACACTTACGTAGGATTAGAGTGACGGAGTCCGAGATGTCATGGGCTCACAGAGTCTGCTGCATCTTGTCCTTACGCGTTGCCGCTATACACACACACACACACTTGCATACGTTAACTGGGTTCAGAGGTGTCCTGGTTTCGGCAGGGATAGAGTTAATTGTCTTCCTAGTAGCTGGTACAGTGTTTTGGATTTAGGATGAGAACAAAGTTGATAACGCACCGATGTTTTAGTTGTTGCTAGGTAATGCTTACACTAGCCAAGGACTTTTCAGCTTCCCATGCTCTACCGACTGAGAAGGCTGAAGGTGCACAAGAAGCTGGGAGGGGGCACAGCCAAACTGGCCAAAGGGACATTCCATACCATGTGACGTCATGCTCAGTACATAAACATTCAGAATTAATTTTAAACATCTGGCAATGGTTGAAGATTGGGAAGATGTAAATTCATTTGAGTTTCCTTCACAGAAATTGGGAGTAAAGACAAAGGTTCAGTCCCAAAACAAACAATGCCCTTTTGTTTTTAATACAACAAGTGAAAGTGGAGTGCCTTCTGTATTAAAATTATCATGGGATGTTTCCCAATACAAAAAACTATGTGCAACTTATGTACAGTATTCCCATATACTGCTCTGACTGGCAATACTCAAAGCCAGTGCTATGATTACAACTGTTAGGTTCGTAGAAGAGGACACTCAAGAGGAAATTCGGGGTCCGGTAGCATTCTAGCTGAGGTAGGTTAAAACAGACCCACTAATTAGAAAATCCTGCACGAGTTTATATGGTATTAAACGAAACCAAAAATTATAACACAGTTGGTCTCTGCTATTCTTTAAGAAACCAAGATGAGCATAGCATTCCAATGTCTACAAGTTTATTAATACAATCCATTCCAAACTTTGAAGAAAGTACTGTTGCTTTCCCACTTAAAAGCTTACGTTATTTTTTCCTGTCGATTTTATTTCCTATTTCAGTCTTGACATCACTGAGGGTGCACTGCTGTTCTGCAGGAGAGGTGGGCTACAGGATGCTTGCTTGGTTACAGGCGGCATGATGGCAGACTGCTTTTTGTCTGTGCAATATCCCGGGACTGTTTCGCTCTGGGCTGCCTCCCCCTCCCCACAACGGCTGCGAGGTGGGATGACCCCAGGGAGGATCCTGGCCGGTCTGCCACAGGGAAGCCTTGCCATCGCTCAGCACTACCTGAGTGATGTGCTCCGGCCAGAGACCAGAAGTGGACCTGCAGCAGGACGCCTGGGGGCTGGCAGGCTGCCCGAAGGCAGGCCTGGGCTGTTTGTCCTGTGGATGTGGTTTAATGCAAGGCAGTAAGCTGGATTTTGGTTAGAATATTTGTTTTCAGGTTTAATAATTACATCTGATAACAATATGTGTGTGCGTATATGTATGCTTGGGGAGGAAGATTTGTGTAAGCAGCAGGATTTGAAGAAAGGAAATAGTACATCGATGGGACTTAAAAGTTTATGCTTTTCTTGTTTGATAGCACCACACTTACGTAGGATTAGAGTGACGGAGTCCGAGATGTCATGGGCTCACAGAGTCTGCTGCATCTTGTCCTTACGCGTTGCCGCTATACACACACACACACACTTGCATACGTTAACTGGGTTCAGAGGAAAAGAAGCACACACACAAATCAATGTGTTTTCTGACAACAGCACGCAGGTGACAGTGCCACGGCTGTGGGAAAAGTTCCCTGTCAGTCAGACTCCAGTTGTCAAAGGCAGCGCCTGAAACTGCTGCTTGTTTTCATGGGACGTGCCAGACACAGGTGTCTTGCAAAAGATTTATGGCCCAATCCAGAAAAAATCTTAGGGATGGATTTCACATTAATGCTATCAATCTCTCTCGCTCAAGTGCTTCATTAGGATCAAGACATTAATTAGCTAACACTAATCTAATAGAAAATTAAGGCTTCTGATCTCAAAGCTACATTGGAACTACAGCTGCCCAGGGCTTATCAGGATCAAGGCTGGAAAGCAGCATTTCTCTACATGCGATACTTTGCACGTGCCATATTTAAATAAATCTCTTATCAATTCAATTCAAAGGGATCTCCCCTGCACCATTTTTCAAGAGTTGTGCTGATAACCACAATCAGATCTTCTGTATGTGATTGTCTCCACAATCACACCTAAATAACAAACACTAAAATATATGAAGGATATTTTTCTCTCTACTTTTCGTATCTGAATTCTGCATGTCTCATGGTGTTAGCTGAAATGAGTGCAACTGTTACATGACAGTGTTTGGAAACTAATCTTATTCTCATTGAAGATAACGAGAGAAGTTCTGCCACTGAATTCTAGGGGAACGTTATCCCGTAGCTTACTGCAGTCTAGAGCCAGAAGGAATAATTAATGGTCATTTGAGCCCCTGAATGTAATGGACAAGCAGGAATTCTTGAGCACATAGCCTCCACTTCAGCTGTCAAAACATTTGCTTTCTTGATTTAAGGACTTCAGGTGGCAAGGGAATCCAGTTCACCTACTGGTAAATTGCTCCACCGGCTCTTTTCCCTCAGTCTTAGTCTTACCCATTTTTTCCAGCATCCCTAATATCTTTTAAGCACAAATCCAGCCATGAGAGAGAAAATACACTCATTTAACCTTTTGCTTTACAAATGTACGTGTGTGTGTGTGCAGATGTGTGTGTGTACACATGTATGCAATGCAGTGTAGATATGTTCAGGTACCCATCTGCAATCGAGTGCCAGTTCAGTGGGTATGCTTGCTATGGCTGTTAAATTAAGAATGGAGTGGGCTAGCTGTAACCAGCGGATTATTCGGTGAGCAACATGCTGTACAATGTTTTAAGTCAGGGAAGAGAATGCTTTTTTACTGACTTACTGAAAAGTGCCAAATCACACTGAGGAAGCTTACAGAATCCAGCACAGGGGCGGGCAGGGGCTTCATTAGTTGTTGGGCAACTTGGGCTGTTTTACACATTGTGGCACCTCCAGTCCCGTATGCAGGGTCACCTGCACAAAGAAGAAATAACACGTAGATTCAAAACTGGGACATCCTCAGCAGAAAGCATTTGTGAAGGCCAAGAGCAAGTAAATGACAGGGGAAGGGCTATGGGACTTCAGTTCCAGGTTTAAGTCATCAAGAATATTAATGGAGACGATATTGAGCCCCTGAAATAAACAAATCTCCCTCCCCCTTCCCTCCTGAACATCTCGGGGTCTAGAAGCCAGGTGTCCGTATCTCTTCCCAAATCCAGCCACCGGTTGCAGGTCTCCAGCAGTGCTGCTTGCTAGACACAAGATGGATGGCGTCTTTGTGTGAGGGACCCCGAGTACTTCAGGACAGGGATCACACAGTGGAGCCCTCTGTGTATGTACTAAATATAAGAAAATCTTTTTATCTTTGCTGTCCTGGCAGGACAGAGCACAGGACATGTTAGTGTTCCTTCTATAACCTGACATCTCTACAAGGTCAGGGTTCCCACACCAGAATGGTACCGGAGTACCATTCAACAGCAAACACAAGCTTAGGCTCAGAGTTTTCCCCTGCCCCCTTGTCGGCCACGCTCTGCCTTAACTCAGTTGTGGTAAGAAATGTAAGCCAGGTACTTAAAGGATGTAGGGAGCTAACACTGAAGGTAGGTTCTGAGTAAAAATCTGTGTGGAATACAGCAGTGAGAGGCTCAGAGAAGTGCCTGTGTCTTCCACGTTGGTGCATCAAATACAATAAAGCTATGAAACCTTCTTGAAAGATTTGGATGCCACCAGTAACGAATGCTAAATGTTCATGTACTAATAAGGCCATGCGAGGTTTCTGGTTTCAGTTTGGGTGTTTTAAATGACGAGTGTTCCACCCTGGCTGCATTGGTCACGCCGGACCTAAGCTGACCTCCTTCTGTCCTCAGGCTCCTGGGTGTTTCCATAGGTTCTCCCTTACACTACATCCTGTTTCTAGCCATATGCAGTGGTCTTGAAGTAAAAATGCATTATATTTAAAGAGGGTTCCTCCAAGAGGAGATCCTCTTGAGAACAGAAAGCAATCTCCAAAATTCAGAAAGAACGCTGACTGGGTCTTCTCTGTTGCACTAATTCTCTGACCTACGTTGTCTTTGCTCTCCTTACCACTGTGCTGTTCACATTTCTGTCTCTTGCCAATGTTAATCTCCAAACATAAGATGTAAGAGGAATTAGGATACTCATGGTTTTTAGTCAAACTGGCAGAGGAAGCCTTAGCACCGCTGCTTTCCAAGTGGAGCGCTGCAGCAAAACAAGTGTAGGAATTAGTGTGCGCAGGTACTTTTACTTGTTTTTACAGTATTACTCCTCACATCTGTGAGGCAAGGCAGAAGGTCAAATGCAGTTTTCCAAAAAGTGTTTGTAGCCTAGGCGTCAGTCTGAGAAGGAGAGAGCCCCTATCTGTACTGACTACCTACAGATGACATTATCAGCCCCAGCAGCAATGGCCGGTAGCATACATTCTCCTTTAGATGAGAAGGGTAAGTGGGACTGAACTGCAGAAGTCCTACCTGGACGTTTCGATTGAGGCTCAATGCAGGCATGAAGACACCCTCGACGTTTTCAAATGCTGGAGGCCCTTGCTGCTGCCCATTTATGTAAAAGGTCAGGTTGTGCTTGTTCAGGTCCAGGAGAACACCAACGGTGGCACCTTTAGAAACTCCTCCTTCAGTCCTAAGGTACAAAGGGACCACACTGTTGGTGAAGGCAGAGTGCTACAGCCCCGCTGCTCTCTCTAGCACAAGGCAGTCTTACTAAGCAAAGGTAGAGTGGAGCAGCACGGTGAAATGATTATCCCTGCAGCATTGGGCAATGACTCATCGACATACGTAGCACATTCATGGGAGCTTAATGGGGGGGATGCTAAAGAGAAATTAGGTCCGTCTCTCCTCCAGCTGCAATCTAAGAGCTGAAAATGGGGTCCAGAGCTAACAGGTCCCCTCAGCTGATGAGAGATGGGGAGGTGAGCAGGTCAGGTTAGTACTGAGCGTGCGGGACAGGAGTCCTGGAGACATGGCTTCTCGGAGCATCCCTGCTGTAGTGAAGCGATGCACAGCAGGGAATGAAAAAGCAGAAAGCTGGTTTCCTAGGCATTCATTTCTAATCATTATGCCTGCTGACAGCTCGAGACTCAGACTTCCAGTTCTGAGTACTCACCTTGGCATCACCTAAAGGGACCCAGCTTTCCAGAGACCAGGGAGTCAGCACAGGTACAACAGACAGTGGTTTTGGGGAGGAAGGGAAGATGGGGCTGGTTAGGGATAAGCGTAGCTCCCTGACTGACAAGGTACTCAGCTATAGGACTGGGAGCTGTTTCAAGTGTGCAGGCATCGTTATTAACACCAGTGATAATTGGTTGTGTCAGGAGCAGCTGCTGAGAGCTTCCGTGGTATCAGAGCTTGCCAGGACAGACTCAGCCAGCCATTACACGCTTGAGCGATTTGACATTAATGCACTTTGATTTGGGGGTTAGTCAAACCCAGTATTACTTTAAAGAGCACTGAGCAAAAAAATCTACTAGATATGCAGATTGGCCACAGGCACTGCTACTCTGATAATATCATGGGCGCTCTGCAATGGATTTACAGCCTGACACAATTTGTTCAGTATAAATCAGATTTCAAATAATTTGCAGTAGGAAAGGAAGCAGCTGTCTTTTGTCCCACGCACTCCCCTCAGGCAAACAACATTCACAAGATTAATGCAATTTTAACATAAAATTTATCACAACAGGCAGGCACAAAACATCAAAAAAAGAGGGGGAGAGATCAAAATATGATTAGGAAGAATATAGTGCAGGGTAAGAAATTTTCATCTTGTCCACTAGGTGTCATAAACTGGTTTCCTTTAGACTAAATGTGGCACATGGTGTTTCCTCTGAAGGTAAAGGGAGTTTTATCTGTGGCATAATAGTATAGAATACTATTCTGACTTCTCCGTTTAAAGCTCTTCAAACAGTAATAGTATAGCTGAGAATCACGAATTGGGTCTGAGATGTCTAAGATTTCAAACTTTACCCTTCTCAGGTTCCTTTTATTTGCTTTCTGGTCCTATAAGCATTAATAAGTTTCTCTTTGAGCTCTTCTCCAAAACGATGAAGTAAATTATTTTCCAACAAAAGTTAAGATGCTTACCTATCCTCAGTATCTCAGTATCTAGACTGTTTTTATTAAAAACACCCAATAATAAAACCCATTATGAGATTGTGGGAAGCAACAGTAGTATGATCTAGAGCTATTTACAAATAGATTACATTATTCTTTTCTCTGCTTAGGAGCAGCTCTGATTGTAGGGCACCGCGTTTTATATCCTGCAGTGTTTTAAAATAGATTTTATGACATCCCTTTTAAATGACATTGATTCTCTTAGGGAAACAGAAACAGCAACTTTGCCTTTTCGAGATTATTAGGCTCTTTCCTATATGATAAGCTAGTTTGCTTCTTGTGGGCTAATTAGCTGGGTGCTGCACAGTGACATTGAGTGACTCCTCTGCAGCCCCCGGGGACAGCCCCGCTGAAGAGGAGATAGATGCTGCCTGCAGAGCCCAGCCGAGGTGAGTGCAGGACCCAGCTGAGGCCCCTCCAGGAGCCACAGGGGCACGGGGGCGGAGCAGAGGGATGGGGACCCTCTCCCTTCCTTCCTGCCACAAGTCTTGCAGGACTTCAGCAGGTAGATTGCCCCATTCCTCGGCCGCCACCTCCCCACGGTGAGCAACCAGCTCTGGCAGGACGAAGCCAGGAAAAAGGCAAGCAGGGGCACTTTGCCGTGCTGCTACCAGGGAGGCTGGACTTTTCCTGAGGCTGAACAGATTCTCTTCCCGAGCACCCCATGATTTCCTTGGGAACAGTCCTTTGAAGACCCCAGTGCTTTTTGGACTACTGTCATGGTCACTTCCCTTAGGAGGAGAGGTGGGAGAGTCAAAGTTTCGTGAGCAAACTTATGCAAGGCATTTCCTCACTCTTCTGTACATCATTCAGACAGTATTACAGGATAATTTTTCTAATAAATGCCTTAGTTGCAATAAAAAAAGCCAGCTAGCTCAAAAGACTCAAACTGATGTTGCTCTCTCCTGATACACTTCTGTGGCAGCATGTAAAAAAGCTGCTGCTTTACTGTAATGAATTTTTTAAACTACTTAATGACAGTTATACCATAGGCCCCTAGTAATCTGCAGGCCATGTAAAAGGGAAATACAACTGTTTGTTACAATACTTCTTCAATAAATACTTTGCATTCATTAAATGATAATCCAGTTTTGAAGATATGCACCGCTCTCTCATTATTTCAAGTAAGTAAATCCCACTTCTCACACCTCTTTTCTCACAGTCCCGCACATTTTTATTTCTGTGTGCAACGGTAAGTCCTGGGTGTGGAAGTGCTGTGCGGAAGCCTGGAAGGTCAGAGTGCAGATAGGGGAATTTGGCTACAACGAAAAATGCCATTGCCTGTGGCAGTGGAGGCTGTTATTCTAAGATGCTTTCAGCAGCAGCTTGGACAATGTGCAGAACAGGACTGCATGGATTGGCTTGAGGAATTAAGAATAGTAGTAAGTTTCACTATTATTGAAAAATAAAGCTTAACAATTTATGAACACTTTAATAAACTGAAGAATTAGTTTAACTCTCCGTTAACAGTATTTTAATCATGAGCTTTACAGTAACTTAATAACTTTACCATGTCTATTGTCAAGACAGTATTTTTCAGTCAATTATAATATTTTTGTGTGATGAAAACCTGGTCTTGAGATCTCTGAAGTCAGTGAAGAGACTCTCCTGATCGCAGGGGGCTTAAGACTACGCTCCAAATTCTCTAGATTTTGACTTCCCACTGTCTTTCAGTATAAAATATTTCAGTGCAATTTCCATCTCTTTCTTTACATAACCATGTAGCGGCTGGAGTATCACCTATAGCACCAGGTACTCCTGTTCTTGGGAACTTTGCCAAGGAACGGATCTATTGCCATGAATAGTGTCTCTTAGCAATGGGCATACACCATCTCTGGTGTGAACTGATTATTTCCAGGAACAACGAGGAGGAACATACCTCACAAATCTATATCCCTGCCCTAATGTGTTTTCTTAACCAGTTTGCTCAACCTATTCTCAAAGATTCCTTCTGTTTTTGATAGCATTACAGTTTTCTGTTCACGCCTCTTCTTCTAGCGTTACAGAAGTCATGATAGTTTTTAAGGATGTAGACAGGTCCAATTTTGCATGCTGTGAGTGAAAGGAACAGGAAAGTACTCTAAACGTGACAGGTCCCATGAATAGGTCTTTCAAGCTCCACCTCAGCTTAACTTTGAAGCTAGTCATTTATTTATTGCCCTAATTTATTCTCATGAAGATTAGGAAACATGAAATGATTACTAAGATGTAACCTCCATCACAATAACATCCGAGAGGCTAACAGCTGACAATAAATTTCCTTTGGACTGTGATATTGTGCTGTCATGCACTTGTCTCCAGCGGGGAAAAACAACTAGGCAGCAATAACCGTTTCCACAAGACTATTACAGCTAATGAGTTAAAAAACTGACCTACTTGACTGTCACGGTTAAAAATATAATGCCTAGACCTAATTTCATTGAAGCGCATGTGATTTCATAAGACTACATGCCCTTTATGAGTGTACTTCACTTGAACAGATATTCCATGGGTCTATCCATGCCTTGGATGTGCCTGCAAAGCCTTTGTGTTTTATCTAGTAAAAACTGGGAAACTATCATCAACAGAAAGCACTTCGTTCTCCTGTTTAAGCAGGATGATTGGAAATCCAAAGTGTTTCCATTGTTTGTGCTTCCCAGAAAAAAAGCTTTTGCTTAGCTCACGTATTGCTTGCCGGGAGGAGCATGCTGAGGACCAAATCCATAAAATAGGTTTCTGGGACAGTAGTACACAGAATGGTTGCCAGCTTTTTTCCAGAAAACATAAGCTGTTTCACAGAGCATTAAAATTAATACAGCTTAACATTACTTCCGCCCTAAACTGAATCAAGGTGTTAAAGGGACAGAGAACCTTTTGATATATTTATTATACTGATGTTATTTTACTCTATATTGTCTTCGGACATGATCTAAGGTCTTTGGAGCCATGGAAAATATTCCAGTTGACTTCAGATAGCTTTTGATCCAGCTACAAGGTTCTTCTACCTGTCTGTAATGAGCTGCAAAATCGAACTATGCTTCAAACAAAAATTCCCAGCAATTGCTGTATACTTACTTAAAATACAAGTATGCTTTAGAGTATAAATGACTATTCAACGGGAGACATTACAACCAGCTTTAGGATACAGGGCATGTTGGCATGAACTTATCTCTTTAAGGAGATAATACCTGCATTTGAGCATTTTAAAAATCACTGCAAGCTTTTCTTTTAATCATTTGGTATAACAGAAACAACACCTGTGCTAGTGACTGTGGAAGACCTGCTGGGACAGTCTGTAGAAAATGAAATCGAAATTGATTCCCGCTCTGCCGCAGACCTGCTGCGTATCCTTGGTCAGTCACTTTATTCGTACATCAATCTCCCATCGTGATACAGGAGGTATACAAATACACCATTTTCCAAAATAAGCGAGGAACTTAGGATCCTGAATCACACTCTTCAGCGGAGATCTCAAGGGTCTCAGTTCCCGTAGTACCCAGCTGACCTTCAGCTATGGCACACGGAGAGAGAGCAGTGCAGTTCTGCTCTGGTGATACCCCAGGGAGCTTCAAGTGAAGCTGACCATGTCTCCCCTACACAGTCCAGCACCATGTCAAGGAAACACAGCCAGCACTAGGCTGAGGTAACTATCATGAGTGCTGAAAGCCATGCAACTGTGTCAGCACAACACTGGATCTATGCTGATACACGCTGTCTCTGTGTGATCCGTCCCTGGAAGTAGCTTCAGTTAGAACATCTCCCCACCGCTCTGTTGCATAGAGCACACAGAGCCTCTGAGTGGTTGGAGAAAGAGGGGTTTGGTAACGATGGCTCAGGGGCATTCTGAAGTCCTCCTTTGTGTAAGTTGGTTGTACTAGTTGAGATGCTTTTCAAAGCTCTTCAGTACAATGGCTCAGTTGGGCGGAAGCTGTCACTTAGCCCTCACTGCCAAACAGTCCCTTGTGTCCGGATTACCCCAGGTGTGACCTACAGCATTACCCTTAATCAGCTTTCAGGACTGGCAATAAACACCTGCATTTTGGACAGGCGATCACCAGTGCTTTGCTTAATTATTGTGCAACCCTGCAGCCAAGATTCCTCCTAAGAAAGAGAATCAACCACCTTTCTCCCTGCGCTCCGCCAGCAATGAGAAAGAAATCCTGCATCCCAGTGCGCTGCGCTCCTGTCTGCTGGCACCGTAGGTGGGACATGCAATAACTGGCTTAATCACAGCAGGGGGCATTTAGGCTAGATCTCAGGTAAAAACTGCTAACAGTGAGGATAACAAACACCAACACAGATTGCGAAGGTGCAATTTCTGTCACTAGTGATTTTTAAGAAGGAGTAAAATAACTACATTTAACAGGCAGATGGACTAGATGGCTTGCTGAGACCCCTTCCTCTGATGCAAAGCAGAAAAAACGATCAGTAATGAGAAAAACATGCAAGTGGTGCTTACCGATTGGTGTGAGAATTGCAATGCATGAACCAGCTGCGGTTGTTGTCAACATACATGGCCCATGCCTTGTCGTCCTTGCCTAGCATCATGTCCTTGACGACATTAATCCTGGCAATACCAAAAGCTGGATCCGGATGGTTGTCATACCGGTCCACATGCAGTTCCCAGTAATGCACGCCCTTGGAGAAGGCTGCTGTGCCAAGAACAACCCGGTCATCGTAGCTGTTGCAGGTGGCAGTCTGGTTGTCATTTGACAGCACTATGTCTCTGTGAGCTGAGGAGGGGTCGAAGGTGAACCACGCCACTGTGGAAGGGGAAAAGGAAAGGCAGGATTATGGCAGAACGGGCTGTGTTCAAGTGTCGTCTGCTTTACTTCAATTAGGAGAATGAGATTCTGCCTTCCTTAAAGACCCCACTGCACTTTCAGGTAATAAAGACAATCTTTCCTCGTTACTGTAGGCAGCCATACAAGATTGCTTTGAGCCCGTACCCTGCTGTTTTTCAGCTCAGAAGTGCCTTATATTATCTGTGCTTGTTCCTCTGAACGTAAGCTGCCAAGGGCAGTGACTTTCTGTTCTCACACAGTAACAGGAAAGTCATTGAGGAGACAAAGGCTTCTCCATGATACGGAAACTGCTCACATAGGTGAATTTGTCCAGGATCGCCTTTAATGGAAATGGAGTTCTGCTCTGTCTGTGCTGGTTAGGACTGACTTCGCTAGTTTATCAAAGGGGAAAAAAAAAAAAGGAAAAATCCCAGAAAAAGCTCTTAAAGTATAAATATTTTATACTGGCCTATTTTGGCAACACAGCATAAAAGTGGAAGTGATAATATCAGGCACTTCTCAATTCGTTGCAATACCATTAACGAAGATGAACTTCTTGTAATGGCCGTATGGATGTCAAGTATAATTACAGAGGAACAAGCATGAATTCCCATCTCTGTATTATCGCACCTTGCTGTGAAATTGAAGCAGTAGTGAAGGAAAAGGCAAATTCCAAAGATATACGTAGAAGTGGAGACAGAGTGGCACAAAAATATCCTGTGTGTTGCATAACTGCTTCCGTATGCTACAGCAAATAAGAATCCTAGTTAGACCCCAGACTTCCACAGCCAAATAAAATTGCATGATTTGAAACCTGAAGTATTACTGATAATGGAAAATCCCCAAAAGTGCTAGGAGGAGAGCTCAGTCCCTGTGCACACTCAGTTCCTGGCCTCTCCGCTCAGATGATCCAAAATCTCCATGCCAGTAAGTGCCAGATATTAGTGGGTATAAAGGGATGCAAGCGTCCTGCCACTGAGACCTGCAGTTTTTCACTTAGAAACTGGCAAAAACCCAACTCACCATCCGATGTCTGTAAAATAACTGTCTTGCTGTAAGGACCAACCCCCGATGAGTTGAAAGCTTTGACTCTTGCATTATAGGTACTGTTGAAATGAAGGCCATCGATGGTGCAGAGAGTCTCCTTGCCAACATATACTTCCTAAACATTCCAAAAAAAAAAGGAGAGAGAAAAAGAGGGACATAGTTTAACTGTTTCTCTGTGCCTTGTGATCACATGTTAAGACTTCTAAATATAAGTCACAAGTGAACAGCTTCTCATTGCTTCCCAGGATGTAGAAGTTATGCTGTTATAACACGGACAGCCACAGCAGAGGAGACATCAAGGATGGTTAGCAGTGGAGACACTAAGGTGAAGAGGAAGCTGGAAGGGTACAGCAATAAAGGGCAACACAGAAAGATCTTAATTTTTATCCTCTTTTCCTAAATATCTGCTCCAAAACACTATTTTGGATAGTAGTCCCAGTGTCTGACCCACCGTGGCCATTCTTATATTTATGTAGGACCAAAAAAGGGGGGCGTGGAAGAAAAAAAAACCAAGTAAGAAAAGTTTTATTCTGTTGGAAAGGTTGTCTCGTGCCTGTGTTAAAGTATAATTTTGAAGCCTGCAAACACAGAGCCAGAAGAAACTGATCTCGTAAAGATTAGGATCACATGCATCACATGATAAAACAGCAACTAGACAACATAAAAGTCTGCAACGATCTATTAAACAGCAAGCACTTGTGTAATGTGAAATATTTCAGGAGGAGGAACATCTAGGCAGACTAATGAAGAGGATTAGTCAGATTATACAGTCTATGATGAACTGTAAGAAGCCTAGAAACATCATGTTTGTTGGAAAACTGAACAGAAAATGACAGAAAAGGAAAAAATCCTGTCTTGGCAGTGGGTTGAAAGCCACAATTCCTTTCCACCTCCGATTTCTCTGATTCTGTGAAATCCATAGATTTATGGTAGCAAAGGCCCTAAAGAGCTTGAGGCTGTGACTAAGCGGACCACTCAGGCCCCAGTTCAGTTAAGACACTTAAGTATATGCCTAAGAGTAGTCCTGTTGATTAAGGCTCTTTGATATGAACCTAAAGTGAATTAAGTATGTGATGAATAAGAAAGGGATTACTTAAGTTTACAGCGGACCATGTGTTTGTCCACTTTGCTACCATGGCGGCTGCTACAAATAACAAAATCTCTTGTGTCCTGAGTTAGCTGATGATCTTTCATGGAAAGAAAGAAGAGTTTTAATAGAATAGCTTAATTTATCTCCATGTTATAACATTTGCTGTCCGTGCAAAAAGTTGCATTTGTAGGACAACTCTCACATTTTCTAATTCATTTCATATTTTTACCACTGTTCACTGCTTGTGTTTATTCAGATTGATGCTCTCTGCTACGATGGGAGACAAAACTCGCTCTTTAAATCCACCCATCGAATACTGATAAAGTGCAGTCAGTGTCATTGCTTTCAGATATATAATCCTTCATGAAAAGGGTCAGCAAACTCTTACTGAAATGGCATTGCTGAGAATCCTGCAGTTTATCTTTCAATGGGTAAAGGGTATTTCTACCACAGCAAGCAAAGCATTCCCCTGAGAAGTTGTCACCCTAGATTTTTAAGGATTGAGATGGTTTTGTATCTTTTTTAATCCAAAATCTTGACATGGCAGGGCTGGCAGTCCTAAAACCTTTGCCAGTTACAAACCCCGCCCCCCCCCCAAATGGGCTTGGATACGCACCAGCCTGAAATCTTGTTTATTCACAAGTATTTATTCAGATGTGAATAGCACTTGAAAAGGTTTATCCAAGACACTGGAATTCATAACACCTTGTTCCTAACTCTCCATTCACCACGCACTGATAACACTCTTACCTACTAATACTAACTGTATCGGCAGCTCCCAGCAGCCATTCACAAAGGTATCTTTTCACACTTTCAGTAGTGGAGAACAGCCTCTTCAAACCCATGTGAAATGATACTTGGACCAAGGAACGGAGGAGACCTTCCAGAAACACAGTGCCCTCTTCAAAATGCCCTGCCAATATCACTGTCTCTTCTGATGAGGGGCGTCCAAATCAGGTGCCTTTGCTATGGGTGTAGCGATTTGGCACAGGGAGGCAGTTACTTAGGTGGACCCATGCCAGGCCATTTTTAGCTTGAGAAACCTTTAGGTTTCCAGTGAGAAGCCAGTTTGCAGCTCCCGAAGAAATGCCATCACATGTTTTTGGCAAAATTTCCCATTTGTGAAGAGAGCAGCTGTACTCCACAGTGATCTCCAGATGCTTTCAAGGCACTAGCCCCTAGGGGATGCACTGGGCCAGCCTGGTCCTGGAGCAACAGGAGCATGAAGCCTGTCTGAGGAGGAAGGGTCACAGCTTCCAGCAGGACACGGCTGGCAGGAAGCTGATTGAATGACTTCTGTAGTTTGTTTATCGGGATGTGGTGAGAAGGGACAGAAGCCTATAAATACCCCGCACCTGCAGCCAGGAGCAAGCAGTTGTGGCATCACCCTGAGGGTCTGGAAGGACAGCACTCGGGATGCCTTCCCATACTTACCAACCCCATCACAGCGTGTCTGCGGAAAGCTTCCACCAGCCTGGTCTCATCCACTCCCAGAGAAAAGACTTAGAAATCCCGTATTTTTATGCAGGATCCCATTTTTACTCAGAAAACCAGGAACAATTGAGTTGCATTTCTGGACCAAGAACCTCAGCTGTTGAAACAGGGTGCTTACGACAGACAGTAGGGGCTTCAAAGAAATCCCTGATTTGTGGAATGGACCACTTTCCGCTCCTGTAGGGCTAGTATGGGGTTTTCTGCTCTGGTACACTCCAGGGGGACCTCAAGGCCCTCTTTGCCAGAGCCCTGAGAATAACTTCAACCAAACTTCCTACCCAAGCTGGGGGTCCTTCTAATAACCAGCATCTGCGCTGCTTTCTACATCCATGCGACGGAAGCAGGGATGTTTTGACAACCCATATCTTCCCTACCCCCTCTCCCCACCCTCGGACAGGCACGAATCCATATCCTGAGGAAACTCACATACAAAGAAACACAAATAAATGCTGAATGAAATTCTCACTCGGAATTGGCCACCATCTCCATCATCAAGTTCCAAGATATAACCCTCCACTGGGTTGTGGCTCAAAGGTGGCATCCTCCAGGCCAATGTCACACTGTTGTTTCTGGTGCAACACTTCTCCAGCTGCAGTAATGGGACGGGTGGCACTGTAACAGGAACTGGGTACAGATTAGTGTAACTCTGCCCTACCCCATTAGTCTGTGCCGCAAGCAGTATGGCGACCGCTCACCTCCCTCGCCTCGCAGGGGAGTCAATATTCGTTAGGAAGAGGGTCCGTTCCCTTCCTTGAAACAAGAGGCAGTAAAAATGATATAACAAAATGTCGTTACTCAGTTAGACAAATCATTGGGCTGAAATACGTAAACAGAAACATATCTGGACATGCTTCTGGTGCCTCATAAGAGCTACAGTCTGGGGACCTCACGTCTGGTTTCCTTCCCAGGGGTGACTGGCTGGAAGAGTTTTTTCTCACACTAGAGCACTTTGCCCCTGCTGTCCCCAAAAGGAGAGAGGCAGCAGCCATGGGAGGGGGTGTCTCGGGCCACAGGGCAGCATGGAAGATGCAGTGCTGCCAGGAAGCCCAGCTCATTAACGAAGAATTGGGTTATTAACCAGCAGAGCAGCCAATCCTCCCAGCATGGCGGCGAGATAGAGCCTGAACTCCACGGACAGCAGGAAAACAATTCTTCACAATAGTTGTTGTTTTTTTTAAATCTTATCTAACACACCCCCACCCCCACCCAGTTTTTCATCAAAACCACCTCGGATATGTTATCTTTATGGCAGCCATACTTAAAAGAAACTGTTGAAGAAAATTGTTCCATTTGCAAATTTTATCTAAATCCCTTGGTTCAGGTAGCAAAAGGAATTTCTGCACCACAGGAGACTGCTTGTGGCTCTCTCCTCTCGGAAATTATAGGTGCGAGGTTATCTACCAACATGCCTTTTTAGTGACTCGCTCAGGAGAAACACCAAGAGACTGTTGACCAGACCAGCATCTTAAAAATAAAAATAAACAGAGTAAAACATTCAGCCATGCCTCTGTGGGAAAGAGGCCTCCACCACACCTTCTCTGCTAAACACAACTAAACTCTCACCGTTCACTCTTTGCTGGAAATTATAAAGTGAAAATTAGGTCTTCTGGAGAGATCTGGCATGTATCTTACACACTGTTGAAATCACACAGGTTAAGTGGGATGTAAGCGATGCATATACCCTGCCTGGTCTCCTGCCCAAGGCTGAATTTCACCTTTCAGGATCATTTCTGCAGAGCTCGACTGTGTCTTACAAGGAGCTGAGTGCTCTGAGCATTCATTGACTTAGCTCTTAACAATGTCAGTTTGCTCTTCTTTTATCTACTCTGCTTTGAGCCTCTATTTTATTTTCCTCCCTCTGTCTACAGGAGAGCTAAGCCCTTGAGCTGTTCCTTTCGTCCTATTTTACCTCTCCGGATAAAAGAAGACTGTTCGCGTTTTGTGAACCAAGCAGTCTGTGGGAAAATGGACGCTACTGTGTGACGGGGCTAAGGTTTCACCCCACTTTGGAAGTGACATGAAAGTCAACATCACACTTGTGATAAACAGTGCAGAAGCTACCGTGGCTTTCCGCTGGCATTATCCATCACTGCAGTGAACACGGATGGTTGGTAGCCCAGAAGAATGACTGTGATCTGAAACAAAAGAGCTTTATAAATTAGCTCATGAAGGTTTTTCTGTGAAAAGAGAAAAAAAAGCCTTGTTCCTATTCCTTGATATTTAAGGATGATTCAGAGGGTGTCATAAATAAAAACCTGCTTGTTTTTTCACATGGAAAGTTCAGACTTTTCTGTAGGAGACACTGTGTCTGGAGAAGTAACAGAAATGTGACATTACAAGAGTCAAAAACCTGAAAACAAGGAATTCAGAGGTAATGAGATTTTTTTAAGTGAACCATTTTAAGTTTAGCATTTTGTCTGTGTTTGTTAGCCTGTGTATTTCCAGTGACTGATAAGCCTGGGAGAAGATAGGGCTATATCAGCCATCCACACTCCTGCCACTTTAGCTAACTGGTTAACCCTCTCAGGAGGCATTCGCTGGCTCCTCCCCACTTCTGAGACTCCCCCTGGCAAAACTGGATGAAAACCTAATTCCTGAATTTTATAAAGTGCAAAACAGACAACACCCCCTCACCTCTGAATAAGCCACTAACCTCTCCAACCCCCTGCAAAAATCTCCTAGGAACACTGATGGGAGGCTTTCAGGGACTGTTCATGTAATGCACAACGCTGAAAAAAAAGAGCAGAATTTTTGGGGGAGGGTAAGTGTTTTACAAGTCCCTTTTAATTATGGAAACAGGAATGCTGTCTAAGATTAGGATATGTTTTCATACAGTAAAGTGCTGTAGTTCCCACTTCCCAGGGGCAGTGCGAATTTTGGCCCTATGTGTGAGTCACACATACTACGGGGAAGTGCCTGGGCTTCTTTACTGTGTCACTGAACATTTAAGTTTTTGTGAGTAATCCTTATCAGCCTCATACTCCCTTTGGGCCAGCCTGTGGCCTGAACTGCACAACCTACAGTAGCTGAAGGAGCGGTAAGAAGCTCCCACCAAGCAGCTGTGCAGCTTTGCTGGATGACGGTCGCTGCGCCTGCCCTCCTGCCTCCTCCCCTGGACGCAGATGGGCAGAGATTTGCCTTGATCTCAGGTTCCCTCTGGGAGGAGAAAAGGTGAACACTTGTTGTAAAAGTCATAGGAAAATGCAAAGCGAGTTGAATAATCGGGACACTGGGATATACTTCATGGTGAAGAGCAACGGGACAGGACTAAGAAAAGAAAAATATAGGTTAAGTGTCAGAAAAAAAAAGAAGACTCAGATGTTAAATTACAGTGCTGTCCCACTTCTTGTTCAACTTAAAGTCCTCTAGAGAGTTTTTGAAGGAAAAGATTAAAAATATAAAGGGAGAAATGATACTGCATTGGCACAGCAAGACCTATTAATGAGTCTGAATGATGTCCTGCTATTTTAAAAGTGCAGGTCACACTTAGCTAAAAAATGTGATACTGATGTCTGTGATACTGTCAACCCAGCAGTTTCAAAAACACATTGCTCAATGTATCTCACAGCTGATCTCCTCTCAGGGTAGAGTAGGGGTGCTCTAAGATGTCTGTTATTTGTCCTCTTGACAAGCAAGTTGTGCAACGATGCCCTTCACCTTCCCAGATTAATTTTTAAAGGACTAAATGCGGTTGAAGAACAGGTCCCTCAGAAACATGAAAACTTTGACCTCCTCCAAAACTGCAGTACGGCCCTGTAATAGCCTGAGTCACTGCTGTAGCAAGTACCCTACAAAGAGTGTTATCGAGAGAGAAGGAAAGACCACAGGCAAAGACCTGGGTCCATGACGCAGAGCAGACAGAACCAGGGATAAAGGCTACTCTTTCATTATATCAAGACTTCATTATATCCAGCTCATGGCTGGAGAAGCAGAGAAGATTTGTGGCAGGAGAGGTGTCTGGGGAATCTTCATGGACTGGTTTGCAGAAGAGGTAAGGAGTCATTCCTGACAAGGAGAAGGGGCACATGAGTGAGTATTCAGAGGTGGTACAGAAAAGCAGAGAGTAGCTATATTTTTTCCTGTTTTGTACCTAGTCTCCATTTTACAACAAGCCAAGATTGCATGACAGTTCCAGCTGTTTGAACAAAATAAACCTGGAACACATATTTGCCTATGCCCATAGCTTGAACTGAGGAAATGTGATGTACACATTGAGCCATTCATCAAAGAGGACAGGAATTTTGTGCCAAGACACTCAGAAAAAGCAATAGAGAGAAGAAAACATGGACAGAGGAAAGGGATCTGGGAAAGCTCAAAATGCCAACAATTATTAGACCTGTGCGTGTGTCTCAGCAAGTCAGCTAGCCTGGGGAGTGTGGGACTCTTGCCAAAGGGCTATCAGTGGGACCCTTTGGTTAACATGACTGCTTAAGCATTACTTCTGCACGTATCACATTTCTGCACATTTAATTTGTTACCAAATTCCTTTTTCTTTCTGTAAAAAGAAAAAACACTCCCTGATCTTTATTTATTGAGATTAGCTTTAGATATGGGCTTATACAAAGTCCACCAGTAAGGTACATGAACAAGTCATCAAAGCAAATGTAATGTGATTTCTTCTCATTTTCATTCTTCTTTGTCTAACACAGTGAATCAATGTTTACTTACAAGCATGCTTTCACTCTAAATGACCCTTGCAAGCTCATTGAGGTTGAATGAGGCCAGAGTTTGAAAAAAAACATAGAAATTCAGTCATGCACTAAGCATCGATAACAATAGTACAGAGCTTACATTGGAAAGCTTTTGGAACAAAACAACTTGCAGTTGGAAAAGTCACACTGGCCCCATTCTCCTAGGTTTTCTCAAAACTCCCTTTACAGATCGTCTCTGATGTCTTTAATGCATCTACTCTTGTCAGATCAACCAGTATAGTGACTTAATAACACTCCCCTCAACACCAACATTTGGCAAAGATTGATGACTTGTTGGTGCGCTGGGGTAGGTAGGATTGGAGAAAGAGGAGCAGATGTAAAGAGACACATAGATTTTTCTTTGTGAAATTGGAGGCTCAGAAATATACAAGTCCTGATGGTGATAAATAGCAAAACATCACCCTGCAACACCAGCTTCTCCTCACAGTCAGCAAAGTGATGTTCCCAGTAAGTCTGGGTGCCCGCTGCTGAAATGCTGAGTTGCTTACTCTGTGGCACCTGTATTTCTAGATGCAAGACCACTGTGCATGAGAAGATAATGCAGAGCTGGTTGAAGTCATGAAGGTAAATTTCAGAAAAAAAATGCCAAAGTGTCAGACCGAGCAGTTCAAATGCAAATAAATTTGCAGTCATAAACTGAAAAATATAAATACAACTCTATATACTAAACAATCCTCAATACCTATGAATATTAGCTTGGGACCAGTCGGTGGCTTGTACCGCTTGGGCACACAGAGGTGTGAGGAGGAATAATGCAGTGCCTTATGAAGGAATGGTGGCCAGGATAAATGGCATTTCCACCATTCTTTGCATGGCGTGTACATGGTCACGCCAGTTATGCTGAGCAACCTGATGGGACATGCAGCAGGTACTCCCTGGTCAAGGCCAAGACAGCTCAAGGAAAAGCCCTTCCTGAGGTCTAACTGTTAAGATGCACCTGGGGAGCAAAGCCCAAGGGTGTTCGTAAGCTCTGCACGGGTTTGGGCAGAAGCAGTCCTGTCCTCTTCTCCTTAGACCATGTCTAGCTCAGTACCAGAGCTTCACTGCAATTGTATGATAAATGAGAGCATCAGCAGACAGCACTATCTTTCATAAAGTTCCAGTGAATCTGGCTCAATTAAAGTCTCCAAGTCTTCAAGCTTAAAGCCAGACGAACGTCCAAAAGCCAAATACCTAAGCTGCTCTCACCTCAAGGGACCTGTGGTTAATTAGCAATTGAAGTGGATAGTTTAACTAAACTCTTTATGTGTTTGGGAAGGAGAGTGGCAGAAGATCAGTATTAAATATATTTAAGAATAAGTATGGCTAGCATTAAATATAAACTGATTTAAACAGACAAGTGCAGACAGTATTCCGAGAAGTTTTATCAGTGATACTCTCTCTCTTGACTCTGCTTTCCTGACTGTTAACATTTCAAAGGAGCAGTTCACGGGTGTTTTTTGAGTAACTTTAATGCAGCCCATTTATGCCAAGATGCAAACCATTCTTGGTGAGCAGACTTTGGCCTTTAACTGTTTACCCTTGTTTCTCCACATATTTATCTGCCAAATTATCCACCCTAATTACTTCATCTTGGGTCTCTTACGTTCAGAATTAGGCCCAGAGAGGACAGATAAACTGAACAGAAATCTTTATGGTTGCTTGGAGTGAAAAAAAAGCACATCCAGCATCACAACACAATTATCCTTAACTGATTCATTGACTTCTGGCAGCCTCTACCCTGTCACCCACATGTATAATTAAGGCTTGAATCACCACTGAGGGAAGCTAATGGCATCATTCCCAGGACCACAATGGCCTTCAAATCTAGCCAGTCTATGGATCTATCTAATTCTGAGGCAGTTTTCATCCTGCTCCATATAAACCAAGCTCATTACAAGCGCATGATGTTAATATTTTTTTTGCCAATGGTATCTACTGTTCATCAGCTTCTGCTTTTAAATACTTTTTTTAACCTCCTTTCCCTTTAGTGTGTCCCTCGGGATCATTTAGATACCTGGAATCAAGGAAGGGTAGCCATGGAGCTACTTCCCCCTTGGGAATCTCTGCCTCATGATTGTTTTTCAAGCTGGGCACTGTTCACAGCACAGTCCAGCTATAAGTCAAAGGGGTTTTTTTTTCCCCTATTCAAGCATATGTGTGTGTGTGGCAATATTTATTTACTACTTCAGCTGTTCCTGACAAGATAGGGGTAATTGGTATTTTGAATTAACCATGTTAAATCTAGGAATGCTGTAAAATTGCATAAAGTTTCATGCAGCTAACGTCTTTTTAATCTTCAAAGCTGATAGATAGCCCTATTCTGAAGAATTTATCTTTTCAAATCTTTAACTGCACCTGATATGTCTGTCTGAGCTTGTTCAGGTCACTGCATGTGAAGTGAGCACACCTTTTTAAGAAACACCCAGTAATCTAAATTTGCTTGAAAACCTTTTAAAACTATCCAGCAATTTCAAGTCACTCCTCTTTCCTCCCTCCATGTCCCCCCTCTTCCCAGCACTGTTTCAACACATGCATGAAAAACAGAAAAAAGAAAATCATAAAAGCTCACCCCTACATTTCATCTGAATAAAATCCAGCTGGTGAATCGACTGCAGTAAAGGTTCGCTATCCAGAGTCAGGTCAAACTCAGCAGACACTTTTGGCTCCAAGGCTCCTTTGACCCACTGTTCCTGAGATACCTGAACTCGCTTGATTAAAGCATCCGAAATCTGAAAGAGAGTATCAGGCTTATAACGAAATGGCAGATAAGACACATAAAAAGTGACAGAATGCCTGTGAGACAGATAGAGCACAAGGAAACCGGGAATATGACAGTACGACAGCTGAGACGGGATCTGGTCGTTTTGGGGTGAGTTCCACTTATGTTGCATCCTTTCGCCTCATGTTTTCAAAACAAGTCTCATCCTAGGGTAGGAAAGTAAAAATCGCATTTATAAATCCTGTTAAGATTATGTTACGTATCATGCCTCTGAATGCCACATATACTTCTGCACTCTGTTCTCTGATGTGCACAGTCTAGTTTTGCTCTCCTGTTTAAAAAGCAGTTGCACAAAGACAGGCTTAAATGTTAGAGGGTCTCTCCATTCAGCAGAGATGATTCAGTGGATGAAAGCTGAAAGGAATAAAACAATCAAATGGGAAGGAAGGTGTATATTTCTCACACTGAGGGTGATAAGTTGTCAGATAGATTTCCAAAGAATATGATGGGTTTTCTATCATTACATCAGAACTGAATTTAATTTTTAAAGCTTTGCTCTAGCTTAGCCCACAGACAACTAGGCCAAAAGTCAGACTAAGATGATCGCAACAGACTCGTCTGGAAGTGAAATCCTGGCTCTGCGGAAATCAATGAACTCAACTGTCCTTGAGTTCAGTGAAGCTGCCATTTGGATATCTGGAGTCCCTTCCAGTGAGCTTCCTGTAAATCACAGGGAGCAGAATTTTCTTCTGGATAGGTCAGAGAGAGTTTTTCTTTATTGCAGGAGTCCAGATACCTTTCCTCATTACTGTTACTGGAAGACACTCCTGTCTGAGCCCCTGCATCAACAGCTCCTAATCAGTTTGTGCAGTAAGCAGAGAAGCATCCTATAGCCCTCCTGCAACCTTGGAGTCACTTACTGGGATGCTGGATCCCTTGGCTGTGTTTCAGTGTCCTGGCTGCAGAATTAGTTGCTCTAAGTAATGCAGTGCCTCAGTGTTAGCTGGTTGCCTTGAAAGCATCATTAGATAAACTAGGAAAAGGTAAAAACAAAAGTATTTTTTTATAAAAGGTGACTGCAAAGAATGAAGCCACAAAGGTTACAGGAAAAGTAAGCTGAAATGAAAACAAAGCATGTATCTAGCTAGCATGTAGATAAGACCTAAAGGTTTCATATGTCCTGCAGCATCCAACCGACAGCCTGCTAAAATCTGTGTGGTCTTGAGATTAATATACACCACACATTCCCCACTCTTGCTTGAGACCAGACGTGACAGTAACAATCAATCTGGAGTGCTAATAGGTTTAAGTTGGCTAATTCTCATCCTGTTTTTTAGGGATGCTGTGACAGCCCCCTGACACTCATGCATTCATGCGTGCAGCATGCCCTGTTCAGCTGACAGCCACGTGCAGATCATTTTGTTTGATGTGCCTTTCTTCTTAGGCAATTAGTAAGGCAACAAAACTAATAGGGCAAAATAAAATAATTCATAAAAATAATAGCATTAATTAGGCAAAATAATTAATTGGATAATAAAACTGTTATGTTTTATCTCATCAATGGACACTTTCACTGCTTACACCTAAGAAACAATATCCTGCAAATTAAGGCAATTGCTAGCTAGGCCATATTTTGCAAAGAGGGGGTACCTGGATCCTCCAGCTGCAAGACATGTCTTGTAGCCCTGTGAGGTGCAACAACCCCAGTGAAGCGAAGCTACACACAAGCCCTTCTTAAGGCTGGATTTCCTCACTAGGGAGATGTTGAAAGGACCCTTTCACATGGGAAAGAGTAATGCGAAGGGGAGAAGCAAAAAGGGGAGAAGTACTACTCTGCTGCTTTCCAAATTGATCAGAGAGCTCTGTGATGCCCTGTGTTGGGTTTCTCAGATGAGAATAAAATAATATTCTGCAGAAAGTTATCATTAACTGCATAGCATCTCTCTTTCAGCCCCGAAGGAAGGGCTGGCACGAGGAAAGATGTCAGCAGTCAGGGAAGTGGTGTGACCGCTAATTCCACACCTCGGTCAGAGCGCGGCTGTTCAAAGCCATCCCTTCGCTGGGACGTTCATGCAGTCACCAGGCTGTCTGAGCTTTTAGACAGTACTAACAGGAATTGAGGTGAACGTGCCTCAGAGGTGGAAGAGGGTAATTAGCAAAGCCACCCATTTTTAGATTTAACTTTAACATCTTTTCTTTTTTTCCCCCAGAACATCGGAAAGAAAAATACCTGTAAAAACCCAGAGGGATCATTTTCTTTGATAACTTCTAGGCAGTACTCCATAAGCCCCGTTGACTGGCGTAGCTTCAGCGTACAGTGGTTTATCTGGTCCCAAACAACCTGGAAAACAAGCATCAGTACAGTTCTGATGACTGCCTCAGCTTGCAGTGAATTGTATAAAAGATTATTTCAGAAGAGACAACGAATGGAAGAGTGTGTTAAAGCTATGCTTAATTTAGCTGCCATATGGCCATTGCCATATCTCCATCAGCTACACTCACTTGCTCTGTATTGTAAATACCGATAATTAGCTTGGCAAAATGTTGTGCACAGGGAATCTCAATTTTCAGAGCAGATTAATTGCTCAAAGATCAGGCTTGCTCGGGGCAGAAAGAGCACAGAACATGTTTCTGCGTTTGCAGTATTCACATTTACAATCACACTTTCACTAAAATCTGAGCTTTTAAAAAATCCTTCACTTAAAAGGCAAATATTATAGAGGATAACTGCAGGAGTGGTTTCTTGCAGATTATACTCTACCATTCTCTTCACAATTGACCATTGATCCTGCTCTGCTTAAGAACGCATTGCTGGGATTAAGAAATAAAAAAGCTGCATCTCATCTTTCCAGATTTTGGACTTGATTCTGCTGCCACATGGCTGTAGACTAGGCCTAATAGCACTGTGTTCAATAGCACAATTCCTGAGGTACAACAGGATCAGTACAAATGCTGATCTCAGATAGATTTTATTCATTGTTTGTTACGTTAGATTTTTCACTTCATTTTTTCCTTCTGTCTTAGATACTATTAATGCTACTGGCAATATAATACCTCAAAATCACATATGCAGTTCGACGTTTCAAGAAATGTGTCTATTTAAACATTTCTTGACTGCCACTTTGTTCAACCATTTATAGCTTTCTTCTCCCACCCCCCTTTACTGTATTTCTTTAATATCTTTTGAGTAAGCACATGGACTTCTGGGGGTGGCTTGCCTGAATTTCAAAGGTTTGAAGAGACTCCAAAATCCCAACATTTTACTTGGGCAGAAGGGCTTTCTTGCATTTGGAAGGTCCCAGTATCCAAACCACACAGGTTTCACTGACAAGCACCTCTCAAAAGACAGCCCAAAATCATCAGATAAAAAAAGCCTGATTCAACAAACTGCTGAAGTATATGCCTCATTTTAAGTGTATAAGCACAGTTCCACCAAACTGCTGAACTGGAACCTGCTGAAGGATTTGGTCATTAGATTTCGTTGTTAGGAGTTTTCATGATGTAAAGGGCTGGGGACTTAACAAAGTGTGCAGTAACGGCAGGTATCAACAGCCATGCTCAGCTGATGAGAGTTGTGCTCACCTTCAGCTTGTGCTCACGTTCTTTGGTCACCTTTGTGAGCAGCTTTGCCTTTTGTCGCGTTAACGCATCAACCAAGGCATCACACTGAGCAACAAGACAGGCTTCATAATCCAACCCGTTCTCCTAAAAGAAGGCGAGAGTCATACTCATCAAAGAAAGTATATTTTACACTTTAAGCTATCGTTCATTCTTACCTGGTTTTCCACTCAGAGAATATTTCCTTTCAAGACTTCGGCATTTCTGTTGCCTTTCTGATTTCATTATAGCTGTACCAGTAATAGCTGCATGCTATAAAATGAAACAGTAAGATGCTATGCCACAAAATGGGCTTATTTAAAACCCTGATTCACCGGCAGTCTCTGGACAACAGATGTAGTACAACATAATGTAAAATCTAAACATGCACATACATAGTGCATACATATACATAAGAGGGTTCTGCCCCATTCTGTTTTAATTATCCCACTGTAGCAACTTTTAAATCACTGGCTCTACGCCATGGCAATTAGAAGAGAATTACGGACCAGAATCTGGTCTATAGGCTTATTACAAGGAAATTAATCAGGTACGAATCCCTGAGATTTTGTATATCACTTAGCCTTACATAAACCCCTGTCCTATCAATGGGGAACAAACCCTGCTACCACAGAATCCCACTGCAGCTGTAGAAATCTGAGCAGATGGTACTACAAGGTCCTGAGCTGCCCCTCCTCCGGGGGATGGCTTTCTGTGGCCGTGGAACTGATGCTATAGCACCCATTCAAAGGGAGGCTCTCCCTCACTTCCCCTGCTGGTCAGACTAGAAGAAGGAGAAAGCTTTCAAGCTCCTCTTTCCAGGAGATGTTCGGTTGTCCTATCAGCTTTCCTCCCAATCCCCCAAGTCACCAAAAAAAAAAAAAAAAAGCATTAAATGTGAGAAGATTTTAAATGTGTGCTGAAGGAGAAGCACCTCCATGGAAAGCTATCGCACACCCCTAACTCATTACTATCTCTTAGCTCTTTTGTTTATGCTTTTCTCTTCTTTTCTGTTCATTGCTTTGTCTTTGTTCTTTTGAGAGCAAAATTTTCAGCACTGTATTCCCTTCCTTCACTGCGATCCGTGCATCCCGCTCCCCAGCTGAGGGACGCAGGGTAACTCTTCCCTGAGAGGCCCCCGCCGCAGTCCTAGACCTGCCAGCAAGATGGGTGGGGGGAGAGACACCAGACAGCTCAGTTACTGTTCACAGGTTTGTCTTAGACTCCTCCTGTTTGCATCTCTCCCTCCTTGGCTTATATCACACCCGACTCCCTCTTAAGCCCATTTCCATCCAGCTACTCTTGAAGTGCTGGTTTGTGTACAGAGCCTGAATCAGTCGATGGCTGTAGTGCATCGTTTCTCTCCTCATTTTCTGTTCACACATCAAACAGGGTGTTTGGCGCTATGTCTCTTTCAAGTGAGAAAGGATGAAATTGTTACAGCAGATAGGAAAATGTGAAAATAAGATAATGACACCAACAAGGAGGAGCAAGGAAGCAACAGGGGCAATGAGGAACAGGCAGTTTCTGAAAAGAGACAAATAGATTTAAAAGTGACCTCAGAAGGGAGAAGGGAAGGAAAAAAGAGGGGGAAACAAGAGATCTGCAAAGCAGGGAAAAGAAAAGTAGATTATGAACTTGCAAACTGCCCCTGGAAAGATAAAAGCACAGCTCCTGGTAGCTCTGGCAAACCCAGAGAGGAAATAAAGAGTGCAGATGGCTGTCTGGCCTGCTGTGCATTGAGACAGGATAATAAAACGTATATATAGCTCACTCCTTTGTGTAAACATACATTTTAAAGACATTTTTGCTGAGGGGTAAATATCTGTATGTGCGTGTGTGGCAACTGTCATAAGACTTCTATTAGAAATAACCTGCTCTGAGATACATGGTTCTGGGTATAAATCTACGCACAAAGGCTACATCTATTCCCTCCCAAAGAACAATCCAAGAACCGGTTTTCTGTTCCAGATGCCAAAAGGCACAGATTAGCTCATGACACATCTAAGCCCTTTCCCCTAAAATAGCGTGGCTGTACCAAACCTGCCTACCAGGAGTATTCCCTGGTATGTGCTATCATCAAATGCTGCTCAGGCATCACCTGGGAAGAGTGCAATTTGTCACGGGACAAAACCATGCCAGGGAGCTCATTAACGGTTAAACTCTGTGGGTGATCATCCTTTAGCACTCAGAGTTATGCCCTAGCCTTGTTTTACTTATGAATACATATGCAGCTGATTCATCCTGCTGTTTTGGTTTGCTGAAATTTGATGTCCTCACTCAGACTCATGCTGGAGACTGGCTCAACACGTGAGGTTCACATCCAGCTTTGTGCCTAGACATGCCTAAATGTTCGAGGGTGATTGCTGAATACAATTTCCTCTTCTGAGTTCTCCTCTAGCATTTTAAGCAATGAGCAGCATCAAAGAAATGGCTTGGTCTTTTGATCTAATTGTAGCAGCTCCCTTATGCAGAGCAATTTGGCAGTGATTTTATTGAAACACATTAAAGGATTTTACAGCATAGTCATAAATAGTCGTAATAGGCCACCTTTAGGTTTCAGGAGGGAAAAATACATTTTTAATGGAGCTAGGTGACTCAAGAAAAGATTGTTGATAGACTACTGTTTTGGATGAGTTATCCCATCCTAAAATACCTGTTCATACCTATAGGAAGAACTGCTCTCTAGAGGTGCCTGTCTTTCTCCTTGGACAATGAAAGAAGCCCTAACGACTAGGTTAGATGAGCTACTTAACTTTTAGATAGGTAAAGTCAGCTGAAGAGAAACCTCAGACCGTGACCAAAACGTGGCATGTGACAGGTGCCAGTCGGTGGCTTCACACTGGTTTCTTTCAGTTAGATGTGCTTTTTGTTACCAGTTTCTCAGTTTTGGTTTCTTCCCTTCCCCACAAGGCCGCAGAAGACTGCAAAGGTGGGTAGCTACACTGCCCTGTGGCAACTTGAGAGCTTGGGGAGCATTTGTGGTACGAATTCATCATCTGGAGTGTTAAGTGGAATATTTTAATGATTAAAGTCAATGTTTGAACTTCTGCTTTGGCTTTCTGTTAGTAACAGGCACAGGACGTGCTTGTTGATGAAAGATGAGCAAGCAGCAGAGCAGGCATGTCGCAGAGCAGATGATGCATATCCCACAGAAAACCCACCGCCACAGAGCACTGCTGGAGATAACAAGTGCCCCCTCCTGGGTGCTGTGAAGCTCAAACTATGGCAGCACATTTCCAGCCACATTCTGCAGGGTGAGAAGGACCTTGAGGATCACCTGACCTCCAGCACTGACGAGTCTAAATTTGGTTGAAAACGGGACTTGTTTTGTTTTGGGTTTGTGCACTCAATTACCGCACTCACCATGAGCCCTCTTCTGACTATTAAAGCTGGGAAATTATAGACATGAAAATATCTTCTGCTTCAATAAACGACCACATTGATTTAGTAGCATTTGTTTCTTCTTTTTTTTGACTTCCTACAAATACTCTAACAAACAGGTTGGCTGGATTTTGTCCAGATTCGAGTACATTTTTAGGAAATGTAAGATGAAAAACAAGTAGTAAATTTTGAATGTGTTAAAATGAGAACTTATCCTAAATGCCCAGCTGAAGCAATTGCAGTCAGGAAGGAGCCCGGAAGCATGACTGATGGATTCAATCAAATACTGATCAACACAGCTCAGATGTCCAGTATTGAGTATCAGCTTCTTGCAATAAACAGCAAACAATTTAGAAGCTAAGAGGGGCTTGCAGGCATTATTTGATGAATAATTTTGCCTAGCAAATCCATTCAAGAAAGGTTAGATGATTCCAGGAAAGATGAGAACAGCACAGAAGACAAAGTCTTCAAATATTTGACTTCCCAAATACTCTAACAAACAGGTTGGCTGGATTTTGTCCAGATTCGAGTACATTTTTAGGAAATGTAAGATGAAAAACAAGTAGTAAATTTTGAATGTGTTAAAATGAGAACTTATCCTAAATGCCCAGCTGAAGCAATTGCAGTCAGGAAGGAGCCCGGAAGCATGACTGATGGATTCAATCAAATACTGATCAACACAGCTCAGATGTCCAGTATTGAGTATCAGCTTCTTGCAATAAACAGCAAACAATTTAGAAGCTAAGAGGGGCTTGCAGGCATTATTTGATGAATAATTTTGCCTAGCAAATCCATTCAAGAAAGGTTAGATGATTCCAGGAAAGATGAGAACAGCACAGAAGACAAAGTCTTCAAATAAATTATTCACTCAGTTCTATTGATTACTGTATTATCAAAACAGCTAATATTCTACAGTTACCTGAATCTGCTGCAATAAATTTTTCAGCTGAACCAGAAATTCTTTAGCTTCCTTTGCTTTATCTGAAACACCATTTAAAGCCTGAGACAGCTGTGCCTGCAAGAAAAAAAAGGGGGTGGGGGGGAAAGAAGAATTAGAGATAAAATGCAAATGTGTTTCTTACTAATCCTTGGGTTTGATGATTAATAATGTTCTAAAAGGCTTACTTGCTGTCACATGTATTCTTACATGCACAGAGTGTTTGTGCTAGAAAAGAATAGTTAAGATTTTAATTGTAATAAGATTTAATAAAGGTGAAATATGCATGTGGGGGCAGTCAAGTATTGTGTCTGCACATTCCACTTTATTGCAGTGACTTGGTAAGTCAAAATACCTTTTTATAAGACAGCTACCCACATATACAAGGAAATAATAGTCTTACACTTACACAGTAGCATCTGTCATGCTGAAAATCCCCAAGTGCTTTCCAAAATGGTACTCTTCTTTTCATTAAAGCCTGAATTTTTTATAAATGTGGTCGATTCTACCAAACGTGAGATACACCACAACAAATCTGCATTTTCAGACTTCATAGTAATGTCCCTTTGGGGATCCAGTTTCCCATGCTCCACCCCAACAAAAGGGTGTATACTTCTGGAAAAGTTGGGAAAAAAACCCTTCCTCTAACTTTTGACTGGTGAGAGATAAGGACTATATCTATTCTAAGTCCAAACTGAAGACCCAACATCCTCTTTGCTCAGCTGGTATCTGAGATCTCTAAAATGAGCAAGCAGCTTCTTGATGGACTTCCAAGAAGGGAAGGAAACAGCGGTTCTGCCCCTGGCAGACCCAGAACCGCCGCAGTCTGAGCGGAGCAGCCCCAGCGCAGCTTCCCTGGAAGCACAGCTGGGATTACAGAAACCGTATTGCTCCGCTTGTCAGCCCATGGCAAGCCCTGATCCAGAATTACTTCTCTGTGCAGACATAACACAGAGTGACCAGATAGGTCCCATCATGAGTGTCCTGCAGGTTAGACACTCTCTTTGTGGGTCTATCCCTCAGGCGGACTTGGCAACTACCAGAGTTAATTATCCTCGCCAAACTGACATCAGGAAATGGAAAATGAAGTATCTTTGCTAACATCTGGCTTTCAGAAGGTTAATTCCTTTTCTTGATTCCTTAGGACTAGAGTGTGCCTTGAGACAGAGCCTTGTATGTAGGAAGGCACAAAGGTTATGAGCCTCTAAGAGGAGAGCTAATTGAAATTCAGTAAGTCACCACTCATTCTCTGCTCCCCTCTTGCTCCTGGAGGGAAGACAATTACTCCATCCCTGAAAAGGGCACAACTCACTTCTTCAGGCTGCCAAAGTTTTGAGATTACCTCCTGCCTGAATGTCTCCTACTCATCCTCCCCTTGCGCTCGCTCATTCGCACAGGACAGCAAAGAGCAGACCCTGGCAGCTCCTTCTGGGCACTTCACAGCCCAGCTCCGAGGCAGGCAGCCTTACGCAGGCAGAGGCACCTGCCTAACCCCACACGGCTCTGTGGGAAGTGGGTACAAACCCTGACTGGGAGCTGGGACTGAATTATAGAGAAGGAAGCCATCCTAGTTTTTTTTCCTCATATTCACACAAACTTTTTCCTTTTAGCCCAGTTGTAGGTATTACATTAGTGCTAAATTTGAAAATAAAACATGCTTTACCACAACTCATTTGTAGCAAATGTAATGGGAAGACACATTACTGTGTATGTTTCTCAATATTTGAATATTTAATATTCTCTTACACAAACTCCTGCCACTTCACAAAAAGTTAAAGCGATGATGTTTGATATGAACGGTACTTGAGGTCACAGAACCAAACCCTAAGTCCTTGAAAGGATCTCTTTTTTCTGCCAGACCAGAAGATCAGGATTTCAGATCAGCTCTCCACGGGCTGATCGTGGTTGCCAGAGTTTAAAGCCCACCCCTTTTGATCGCACTTTGTGCTCCGTCCACAAGGCACGTTTGAGCCTTTGGTTTGTCAAGCTAACGCAAGACAAGGTGGAAGCGGCATATGACCAAGTGGCTGGGGAGGAAGCGAGAAAGAAATAGGTGGCAAAAGCATGGCATGCTCTGCCATTGACTGGCCTGACCGCATTGTCCCAAGGAGGCAAGGGCTCCTTTCTTTCAAAGCAAAACCAATGGCTGGTCCCGACAAAAGTAAAACTTCCACTTTTCCAACATCTGCCCGAGCTCTCAAATCATCTCAAAGTGCATTTCACCAGATAAGAAGAGCCGAAAGCTGTATGTGGGCATCACAGCAGCCACAGAAAACTGAATCACTGCAGACAAATTGTAACCAGCATATGTACGATGGCAATTAGCACAGTCACTCCTGGCTCCCGGCACGCTCCCATTGCAAAGAGCTGCAATAGAAACTCAACAACGTCATTGTTCAAAGGGCTCGTAAGCGAATTGCCGTGTTCATTAAAACCTGTGGTTGCATTAACGCAACTGCAGCGTGAAGCCGAGGACAAGACCAGATGTCCATTTGTGAAACCCACTTAGAGATAATAGCCTTGTTTTTCCAAGCATTTGTAAAAGATACCTTACAAAGCAGTGGAATTTAGTCATGCACTTCCCATTAAAATCAAATGGAGCTACATGACTAAGCCCTCAGTAAACCAACCAAGCCATAAAAAATGCCCTGTACACTCAGAGCAATCTTTCGTGCTGCAGAAATATTTACTGGAAGCCAAACTGAAATGTTACAAGCTCTGTTGACTGCGACGATTAATAACTCCTGACAAACGGTATTCTACCTGGCGTTATCTTTACTTGAATACCTGGTCTTGCAACCAAAAATGTGGACGCTGGAGATGGATACCAAGTTTCTACTTCTACAGGAACAGGGAGATAATAAGGGTGAGTAATTAAACCCGGATGGGCACGGAAGACGGATGCTTCCTTTGATTTTAGAAAATGAACCAGATAATGCCAACATCCTTTTTCAACCGAACAGTCCATGCTCATTTAATTTGTCTTCCCTCCATCTCTCTTTAGCAGCAGATTAACTATTGATTGGATAAGCTTACCATGGCGCTGAATTCTGAAACAGCCCTCATGTTTTTGCGAACACAACTCTTTAGGCTGGCAAATAAAAGCAGGCGTTCAGGCTCTTATACTTGCCTTCAACCGCCTGCCTGCTTGCCCATCACAGACCTATCCAGCTGTGGCTTTTTTTTGCAGCGTTTTGGGGGGTGTGTGTGTATATATATATGTGTGTGTGTGTGTGTGTTTGTATATATAACCATTCAGAATGGGCAGAGCTGAAACGTGTCCACCATCATTCCTCGTATTAGTAGGTCAAAAAGCCTACCAACTTAAATCTGACAACAGTGTCACTGTTCTTGTTATGAAGACCTAAAAGGACTTCATTTTGGCAGTAGACTTACACAGTTTTACTTCATAAACTGTTGGTCTAGATGCACGGTTCATGCAAGTGAATATAATAGAGTCCAGTTAAGTCAGTGGATTTACACTGATTTATGCCATTGGGCCCCTGTTTTTATTGTACACAATTTTTAATTTCTCTGAAGAAGTTACATACAGCAGCATAAAGGGGAAACCCGCACCATTAACAAGGGCCAAACAGTCTTGTACAGCTTTCATGCCAGCAGTACAGCTGAGGGCAAATGCATGTTTCATTGCACGGTCTGAAGCACTGTACGGACAAGGTTATACACGCTATTTGCCACTAAATAGTCACCATCCTTGGAAGTATTTAAAAGACGTGTAGGTGCGGCACTTAGGGACATGGTGGTGTTGGGTTGACAGTTGGACTCGATGATCTTAGAGGTCTTTTCCAACCTTAATGCTTCTATGTCCTTGGAAGATTTAAAAGACGTGTAGGTGCGGCACTTAGGGACATGGTGGTGTTGGGTTTACAGTTGGACTCGATGATCTTAGAGGTCTTTTCCAACCTTAATGCTTCTATGGTTCTATGATTCTAAATCACTATATAAGGCCCAGACAAAGGAGTTGAGTTTTGTTCAACCCAGACAGGTTGAACAAAAGGCTGATACAGAAGCGGGATGGGAATGGATTCTGAAGCTGAAGGCAGGCAGGGCCTCTGGAAAAGCAGTTCTGGAAGTCAGTAGAAAAACTGGTTCAAGTTTGCTGGTGTGGGATGAAACTGTGAGAGGTGGGGAAACGGCTCTGGCAGCCCTTCTTAGGTGAAGAATACCACTGGCCTTAGAAGGAGATAAGCAGGTGCTTATCAGCTGATGGTGAGCAACGGTCAGTCTGTCAAATTTACTGGGCTAAGAACGCTTACAGCCAAGCCCTTCCACCTGCCTCTACCAGCTACATCTGGAGCATCTAGAGAGAACACATAAAACTTGAATTACGTTTGGCATACCACTCAATGTAAGTAATTTATGGTTTGGCCAAAGTAACTACAGGTAATAAACTTGTAGAAATTGTTGTATCTGAGAACTATTTCTAAGCAGAAGTATCTCATTCCAAAACAATTTATCTGAATGAATGTGAGCTGATGATTTAGATTGTCTGGCTATATGGTTCCATTATATTTATTTTCTGCCAAGTGCATTGTTCGGGGAAAAATAATATTCACAAGAGCATCATTTTAGAGCCCACAAATTAGTTAATTTTGAGTATTTTTTTTCTTTCACTAGAATTGTCACATTGATTGAGTCTGTAAATCAACAGAAAATCACATTCTGTGATACCTTACTCTCAGAAAAAAATGCAGTAAAAATACAAACCACCAGGGTATTGTTCCTTCTTTTGACAATATTTGACAGCAGGAAAGAAAGCAAATGACTGACTGTGCACTTTGATTACACCAGAGTTTATCACATTGTTCAAAATGCATCAAACAGTTTTAACTCGAGGTAGACCATAATACAGCACAAGCTGGTCTCTCACACTCCAAAACATCAGCCACACTTGCACAGTGAATTCAGTCCCTGCTCATTAAAATAATTCTGCTCAGAAGTGGATCCTACCATTAGCACAAGTAGCAATAGCTGCGAATTTGTCATCTGCTCTATCTGGGCCACGAGAACGTCTCCTCTGCACAAACACCCGCCACGTTAGGGAGGAGATGGCTGGGCCCTTGGCAGAGAGTATTCAAACTGAAACACGAAGAAGTTTGTCTTTCTCAGATGGACAAACTATGCAGATCACCCCAAGCGGCACCTGTTCTGAATCTTAAAATCGAAAGTCGTTTTTTTTCCTTGCCAAATGTCTTAGCCTAGCTTGTGCTCAACCACTCCATGGCTAAGGGATGATGAGACCCGTCTTGATTTTGTCCTCTCCTGCAGTGTCTGAAAGGATCTCTCTGTGCTTCCTTTACTGCTAACTGCAGCAGAGAGTGAGAAGAAGGGAATCCTGCAGCCAGCAGTGCTAGCCAAGTGCTCTTTGCACAGCTGTGGGAGAAGTCCTTTCCTCCCAGTACAGCGGGGAGCTCTGAAGGACTGCTCTCAGCACTCAGGTATTAAAGTCCCCTCTGTATCTTCATATGTTTTAACTAATCATTTTTCCAGAGTCCACCGTTCTTAGCAAGAATGAGCTAACTTCATACACTTCTTCGACTTCTAAGGTCATCTTGCTCTTTATTCAAATGGTTGCAAAGTCTTATTTTTAACAAGGAGAGCGTGGCCAAGTGACCCAGCAGCTCTACTAGAGCTCGGCAAACTGCCTGTGCTGCAAAGCAGCCGGCTCTGAAGTCTTCCCATGGGGCCTCCAGGGAGGCCTAAGGAGCATCGCTTGCAGGGAAGCATGAATCAGACCGTGACATTACGTGAATCAGAAAAAGCTTTACTTGTCCCCAGACCCCATCCATCCTACTCTTCCTTACTCATTTTTGTGTCATGAAGGTCCCTCCAGCCATTCCTTCTGGCCTCTTTGGGAACTGCGAGGGAGGGGAGGCCTCTTTGAGGCCCGGAAGACAACACGATGTCCCGTGATCCTGCCTATCACACTTTCCTGTCTAAAACATTTGGGTGGCTCCAGGCCACTCTCCCTCATTGACACAATGGCAGGGAGGTAGACGTGGCAGGGAATGGTTGTGGCAGCTCCCACCGAGGCCCAGGTGAAAGGGAGGAGGTGAAAAGAAGGAATGACCATCCTGTCTACTCCTACTCCTCACAGGTGGCTGGTGCCACCTGTGAGAGGACAGGATGGCCAAGGACCCTGTGAAAGGCAAACAAGTTAGTGAGACAGACTTGCTAATCCCAGGTGTCTCTGGGGCCCTGGTTTAGCCTGAGATTTGCTGGCTGAGATAAGGCGAGGCCAATACGGGAGGGAGTCTGTGGGTTTTCTAACCCTGAGCAGAGGCTGCCGAGTCGCGGGGCAGTCAGGAAGGACCGGAGACCTAAGAACACCGTGCCAAGGGGAAAAAGTCTGGGAGGATGGCGGACGTGAAGTGTCCTCATGTCCCACAAACTCCAACCCGAAGTCAGGGCATTGGGACGAACAAATCCCAGCGCCGAGCATCGTCCCAGCTCCTCCTGGCCGGCCGACGGGACTCACCTTGTGCTGCTTCCACATGGCGCCCAGGGCCTTCACGTCGTGCTTGCCGTGCTTGCCCTCCTCCAGGCACTGGTAGCAGACGGGGCTGCGGCAGCTCACGCAGTACATGCTGTAGTTCTCCAGGTCGTGCTCGGCGCACGTCGGCAGCTTGCGGCCGCCGCCCGCCCCCTTCCCGCCG